AGTCAAAACATTTACTAAATTTTATCATCGGTATAAGGACATCATTCGTAAATATAACTCAACATGCAGACATCTTATACGTTCGGGTATTTCACATCCAATTTTTTATGGTAATATTCTTTACAAAGCACAAAAATGTCAGTATTCACCTCAAAAGCTAACAAAACCTTTAAACAGACTTATTAAGAAGGGATATAGTTACGATACTGTTGTCAGGTCATTAAAGATTGCATATTTTGGCTTTAATATTGATTCACTTATAGGGTCTTTGCATCGGAATTAAACATATTTATTCTAAAACCAGTTGTTGGCATGACACGGGTTATGTTCTTCTCATATATTTTATAATGGTATAATACTAAACCCCTAACAGGAGGGATTGTGCCTGATATTCATATGATGAAGACATAATCTTTCAATCAGTTTAATTGAGGTCTGGAGCTGGCATGTCAGTAACTGCTAGTAGTCTGTTGTTATTTATGTATTATTGTCATTTTGTTTATTTTCTTTTGTTTCCTATTCTGACATCGGACTCGGACTTCTCTTGAACTGAGTTTTACTGTGCGTACTGTTGTACGTTTGTTTTTTCTACATTGGCTAGAGGTATAGGGGGAGGGTTGAGATCTCAAAAAACATGTTTAACCCCGCCGCATTTTTGCGCCTGTCCCAAGTCAGGAGCCTCTGGCCTTTGTTAGTCTTGTATCATTTATAATTTTAGTTTCTTGTGTATAATTTGGAGTTTAGTATGACGTCCATTATCACTGAACTAGTATACATATTTATTTAGGGGCCAGCTGAAGGACGCCTCCGGGTGCGGGAGTTTCTCGCTACATTGAAGACCCATTGGTGGCCTTCGGCTGTTGTCTGCTCTATGGTCGGGTTGTTGTCTCTTTGACACATTCCCCATTTCCATTCTCAATTTTAACACTTGTTAAAAGTATATCGATGCTTTTAAGGAAGTAAACTGATACTTGATAAGAGTATACATATGCTTTTTATAAGTATACTGATACGTTTTAAAAAGTGCACCGAAGCTTTTTATAAATCCTCTGATACTTTCTAAAGTAAACCGATGGTTCTAATATATATGTTGTGTACAAATTGTAATTTTGTACAAATTATTATTTGTTCAGATTTTTTGTACAAGTTATCACTGTTTTATGAATCGCTTATCACAAATGGATGATGCAAGCACATAGTCTTTTGTTTCGCATATTTCTGTCATATTTCCATGACTACATGATACAGTCTCATACTGAGCATTGATACAAAAAACACTATAAGATCACAAAAAGACTTTTAATGGATATGATTTTGGTATAAGGAGAAAAATAAAATTAGAACTTAAGCCATTCAGGTGTCCTTATTTCCAGTTTGAGGACAAGGAGAATAGCACTAAATGTTGGGCTGAAGTATATAAATTTGAATTTAAGACATTAAACTGATATATTTTAGAAGATAAACTTTTATAACCTGGTGCAAAAAGGTATGTGTCAAAAAACGTATAACTTGTACAAAAACCCTGTACAAACTTACATCTTGTACACAACATATATATCAACGCGATTTTTGTCACGAGAGAAAAACCATGTACCGGAAAAAAGGAACAGTCAGTGCCTAAATCATAATAATTCAATGAAAAAAAAAATCCGCAAAGGGATCGCCAACTTAGAACATTTAGTTCTTTTTTAGGACGTTACAAATCCAAACTACTATTATGGCAGACTATAAATGTGTGGTAACCAAATACAAATAGTCACAGATAAAAGAAAAAAATACAACTATTTATTTTCAAGACTTGTTGTTTGGTCTAAAATAAAAGGAGCGGGTAGAGGGTTAGTGGCGGAGCGGGGTTTATTCGCACGACATCTCTTTGTAGTACTTTTTTACGAATAAGACTTTGATATTGTGTCAAATGAAATGATATAATTCAATACAAGTAAGACTTGCAATTACATTAACAGTTACAGCAGCACGTGGTTATTATGTTTTCAAACACACATTCTCTGTTTTGAAACTTACGAGATTGCAATTTCATTTTCTGGAAGGCGTCGGGAGGATTACAGTATGTATGATAAATATCTTGGCCGGGAAAGAACTAAAAATAAATAACTGTGCACAAGACAGGATGAAAATGAGTATTCTGCAGCCCAAATGTTGGTTTGATTGCCAATTAATAAGACAACTTTCCAATAGACACCAAATGACGGATAAGGTTAGCAACTATAGGTCAACAAACGGTCTCAACAGTAAGCAAAACCTATACCTCATTAAGTTGCCTCTTCTAGTATAAACTTAAGTTTATGATAAGTAAGGTCATGAAAGTTTATCATATTAAATTATAAAGACCTGGACAATACAACTTAGTCGCAATAAAAACAAATATATTGGATTTTCAAAGTGAGAGTGCACGAAAATATGACATTTCACCGAATCGTCTTCCAGGCTTATATGGTATATCGAATCAAAGTAAATTACTGTGTATTTATAGGAGGATGATAAACACACACACACACACGGACATGTCAAAGTATACCTTATCAGAATAAAGGAGATTGACCTTATCTTTAGAAAGTATGGCTGTCCAAGGAATTATATTTAAATTTCTTGTGACGTTACTCTTTATTAAAGGCATAGTACATGGTTATGGTAAAGGTAATCGTATCTAAGTTTCTAATTCTATTACTAGTAGATTTTTTTAATACCACAGAATAAACCATAAGTACATATCATGCATAATAATATACTTTAAATAACAGATTGTTATCATTACTGACACAATTTTGAGTTGTTGATATCAGGATGACTTACATATTGTGTTCAAAAATGATTAGTATCACTTCATTGATAAACAATATAGAATATATATATGTATGATACATGGGTGAAACCGCTCTTTATTGACCAGGATTGTCAGTTTTTTTCCGAGTCGAAAGTCGTTGGTTTTCTTCCGACACTCAGGCTTCCTCCACCAATGAAAACTGTTTGACACTATATAGCAAAGGTGTGTAGTTGAACGTGGTATTAAGCATCAACAAACGAACATACAAAATATGGTTTCGTAGTCCGCAGATTTTCACTACGATACATTTAAACTCATAGTCTCAAAAACTGTTTTAATTTGTTACATATTTCTTTGTAAGGCTTTAATAAGAATCCTACTTTTTACATATGTTTATTGCCTTTTCATACGTGTTTGTATAGAACTAAAACTGTGAAAATGTTTTAATGTTATGAACGATGAAATGCCCTGCAAAGTGAATTGAGGTGTTTTCAAACGAAAAGGCAATATTCTGATCCAAATATGAGAATCAAAATATTGTAAAATTGAGCAAGTAGAATGACACATAAGTTTTACTTCGAAAAGATGCATTATATACTTCTGAGTTTTACTGTGCGTATTGCTCTGCGTTTCTTTATTCTACATTGGCTAGAGGTATAGGGGGAGGGTTGAGATCTCACAAAACATGTTTAACCCCGCCGCATTTTTGCGCCTGTCCCAAGTCAGGAGCCTCTGGCCTTTGTTAGTCTTGTATGTTTTTTAATATTAGTTCATTTATATGTTTTGGAGTTTAGTGTGACGTCAATTTTCATTGAACTAGTACACATTTTTGTTAAGGGGTCAGCTGAAGCCCGCCTCCGGGTGCGGGATTTTCTCGCTGTGTTGAAGACCCATTGGTGGCCTTCGGCTGTTTTCTGCTCTTTGGTCGGGTTGTTGTCTCTTTGACACATTCCCCATTTCCATTCTCAATTTTATTTAATTCCTTCAAAAGGTTAACATTTACAGATTTTATATGTGTTATTTTTGTATTTTCTTAGGTAAACGTTTAGTTGGAAGTGGCAGTTTAAATCTTGGTAGTGTAGGCAACGCTGGATTAAGTGTCCAAAACGGGCAAGTATCGGCAACCGGAAATATAAATCTTCCAGGAGGTTCTAACGTAAATGCTAACCTCCAGAATGGGACATTGTCTGGAAGTGCAAACGTTGCATTACCAGGAGGTTCAAATGTGAATGTCGGAGTAAATCAAAATGGCCAGGTATCGGGAAGCGCGAATTTACAGTTACCTGGAGGATCTAGTGTTAATGCAAATCTTAAAAACGGACAGGTTTCTGGAAGTGGGACACTACAGTTACCTGGTGGATCTAGTGTAAATGCAAATCTTCAGAATGGTCAAATATCTGGAGGTGGTAATATAAACCTGGGTAATGGTGGTCAAGCCAGTGTCAACGTACAGAACGGACAATTGTCAGCAGGGTTGAAACAACCGGGAGGAAGTAGTGGTGGTAGTGGTGAGTATATGGTATCTTTCAGAATCGTAGAACGGTGGAAAATTCTATTATATATAAGAATTTATACATATAGATATCAAGTTAATAATTTGGTACGCCAGACGCGCGTTTCTTCTGGATTATCGTCCTTTTTAAACTCCTGGAATGTATCTGTCTGTGAAATATCAGTTCTGTGTCATCAAAGTGACAATAGTAGTTCTAACCGTCATTTGCCTGATTGAATATGAATATACCGACATCGTCATATTAGTTGATAACTTATACATAGAAACAGCTATTAGATGACTAAATATAAGTCATATAATTCAGTTGGGTATATAATCAGTTGAGATGGCAAGATTTGCAGTTTACGAGAACTGCTCCCTTGGCGTTGACATTAGATATGTATAAAATAAATAGCGTCTTTCAAGACGAAAAGAGATTCATTGATTTTACAAAAAAATGTGTTGTTCTAAATGGTTAGACATAAAACAAACCAAATGTCTTAGTTACAACGAAGATCAAATTCAATGAGTTTGGAATAACAAACAGAGAATTCAATAAAGCTTACGCGAATGTACAACGCCTGACTTTGAAGTTAACATTTGTTTTTGTTTTTGTCGTTTATTAACTCTTTTATTCAAATTGATTCAGTTTCATCGTATTTTTTTCAGTATTTGGTAATTGTTGATCTTAATATTATTTTCTGTTTGAACATATGTTTAGGCACTGGTTACAATCCCCTTACTTTCGTCTCCCAGGCAGGATTAGACCAATTCAAGCAATTTGCAAATTGTGAGTAATAATAATTATTCAATTTGGTTAATTATTGAATTGAACAAATATGACACTATAAACTGTAAAACATAACGTATTAGTTGATTGATTTATACACAAAAAACTATGCAATAAATCCCTAATAAACACTATGACAGCGTTTTTAATATCAATTTGAAAAAGAAATTGAGTGAATGAATTGGCTGAATCCACAGGCACTTGTCTGAGAATTTTTTCCCCCTATATACCTTAATTTTTTTTTCTGAGACAAGTGCCTGTGGCTGAATTCTATAGATTTAATTGCTGTACATTTTTTTACAAGCTATGGGAGGTGGAGGATCGAGTTTTCAGCCTGGAAATATGGGAGGGAGTTTCAATTTCAAACCAGGCCAGATGACAGGGAGTAGTGGAATGTCTGGAAATTCAGGATCTGGGTCTGGAACTGGTTTCAACATGGGATCAGGTGGTGGATCTAATGGTTTCAATATAGGATCAGGATTCAATACGGGATCAGGCAGCGGATCAGGGTCAGGTTCTGGAGGATTCAATATGGGATCTGGCAGCGGGTCAGGTTCTGGTGGATTCAATATGGGATCAGGTAGTGGATCAGGATCTGGTTCTGGTGGATTCAATATGGGATCAGGCAGTGGATCAGGATCTGGTTCTTGTGGATTCAATATGGGATCAGGCAGTGGATCAGGATCTGGTTCTGGAGGATTTAATATGGGATCAGGATCAGGTGGTTTTAATATGGGTTCGGGCGTTTCTTCTGGTTCTAGTAGCGGGTCTGGAACGGGAGGTTTAAATATGGGATCAGGAAGCGGTTCGCTTGGGTCTGCCTCCGGAAGTGGATCTGGGAATACTGGTATGGGATCTGTGACCAACTCAGGAGGGGCAGCTGTTGGTACCACTGCCGTTAAATCCGGTGCTACTCAAGGTAAGAAGATAAATATTATAATTGATAAAACCATTAAATGACTTTCTTACATGTCTTACAAATAAATTAAATACACTTCGGGAAATCTTCCCATGTATCTGCGTGTTCCGTCATAAAGAATTATTTGTTCGTTTGAATCTTCACATTACTCGATTTATAAATACCCGTCCACGTCCACTCTGTGTTTATGTTAGATGTAGTTCTTTTTGTATCCATCAGATGAATTAAGCCTTTTTCGACTGATTTTTATAGGTGTACTTATTTTGTACTGTTACACCACTGTCCCAGTTTAGGGGTAGGGTTGAGCGTTCACAAACATGTTTAACCCTGCCACATTCGTTATGTGCCTGTCCCAAGTCAGGAGCCTGTAGTTCAGTGGTTGTCGTTGGTTCATGTCTGTCATATTTGTTTTTCGTTAATTGTTTTGTTATAAATTAGGCCGTTAGTTTTTCTCAATTGAATCGTTTCATAATTGCTTACATCCACTTCATTTGAACTTTGGTGGATAGTTGTCTCATTGGCAATCATACCACATCTCCTTACTTTATATTCTATACTTAACTGCTTCAAATTATTGGATATTTATACCATCATTGCTTCGCATTAATATGTGTAACGGTGCTTCACATTTCTCGATATCTATACTACCACTGCTTCACATTACTCGCTATCTACACTACCACTGCTTCGCATTACTCGCTATCTACACTACCACTGCTTCACATTACTCGCTATCTACACTACCACTGCTTCACATTACTCGCTATCTAATCTACCAGGACTGATGCGGCACATTTAAAACGTGAAGAGCATTCATTTTAGATACATGTAAACATTTGCAGTTTCTAATTTTTCAAACTTTTATAAAATAATATATTCCCAATTGGCTATTTAAAATAAAAATTCAGTTCTACTCGACGACGAAAAAAATAATCCCCTAAAACTATTAAATTTACCATTGCAAAACGTAGAAGTATAAATGCTTACATCTTAATGATGAACATATGGGGGGTAGGGGGAATGACATTTTTATTGAGGATTTCAACTTTTCTCGCTAACTCACGGTACAAAATTTAAAGATTTAACTGCGTCATAGTAAAGGTTGTGTGTGACGGTTTTTGTTGTTCAGTTAGGCCATTCTCTCGCTCATTTAATAATATCGGCTTTTCATAACTGTTTACCGTTAGTAAACCGGAAGATGTTCATATGGCAGTAACATATATGTTATGCTGACAAAACGGAGTTTCATATTCATATTTTTGTCTTTATACATTTTAAGCTGTAAACATTTTAAATATATAATTCCTTGAATCTATGACATTGACTATCAGTAAACTCATTTCAGCTCCAACGTTAACCAGCAGTTGTTCCCCTTCAGGTTTGTATGTTATACGAACAATTAATATATAAACTATAAAAATACTCAAGGGAAATTGAAAATTGAAATACTTCAAAATTATGTTAAATATTTGTTTGTTACAAGTTCTGCTGTCCAGGAAAACACAATTAACTTAAAAAAAATATATTAAAAAAATTAAGGAAAGTAGATTTTATAAGATCTCAATTGAATTTGCTTCATATTTTTTATGTCGGGGCTTTTATAGCCGACAATACGGTATGGGGTTTTCTCATTGTTGAAGGCCGTACGGTTGCCTTTTATTTAATTGCTCATCTCCTTATTTTTATATTCGACAGAAAACAAATATATAAATGATATATCTTAATTATATGTGAAATAAATAAAAGATACAACAAGCAAGTGTGACCTTGCGTTCAGACAACTATAACATTTGGTGCCTTTGTTGAATTGTTTCATCAGAACTCTTTTTTTACAGTAAAAAAAAAACGCAAAACAAAATGAAATAGATATAATATAGGATAAAAGTTTGATTATTTTGTTCATATGACACGAAATATAACCAATAAATAGATCCTAACAAAATATGGAATATCGTTGGAAATTTTCAAAAGTGTTTAATGCTAAGGAAATCCCTTTCTTAGTCACAAATTCACTATACAAAGAATTTTTTTGACTAGGGAGTATATATGAGATTTCAGTTAATGATATTAAATCATATCGTACTCAGTTTATTATTAAAGACAGTTATGCTAAAGGAGTCTCCTGTTACTTTAAATGCAACGAAACCGAGGAATTATACATTTTCTTTGATATTTCAAAGCTGGTATCTCAGGACAAAATCCTCCTTCTGGAAGCTGCTTATGTCTGGCTGGAACTAACGTTGTCGTTCATGCTAATGGTAAGTATAATGTAAAACCAAAAAGTAAAGATTGCCAAAAGACGTTTTGTTGTCCTTACTAATTCCTTTAACATCCCCCTGTTGACTGTCTGGTCAAAACTGACTAATGGTGATTTCGACTCTACATACTGATCAAGATTTTGCTGTACATTAATACTTACTTAGGCGAAACAAGTTATACTGATGTTCAATCTTTTATAAATGATTCTGAAAGTTTACAATTTCAATATTCAATAATTTACATTTCATACTGATGTGCAGAATCTCAGACGAATGATCCAATGTTGACCTTCATAACAATAGATATCATCAAGTTCATATTCGTAGACGATTAAAATATCCAAAGTTTTTTTTTATAAAATTGTATATGACATTATGTCTTTTCATAAAATACTAGTGATTGTTTTGGTATTCTGTTTGCGACATACAGAAATAGTCTATTATTAAATAGATACTTTCATTTATACAATTTTTTAAATCCTATTTATGAATAATGATAACATAAAGAAGACAGTTTCAATGTCGGTCTACATTATTATGTAATACGCAAAGAGTGTGATCATTGGACATTTACATATTATCCGGCTTCCTGAATATGCATGTAGTATTTGCCGCTATATTTTACCATCAATCAACAAATCCGGACTGTCATATCTATCCTTTTTGTGTCCAGATTAAAAGAGGTAGAGCCAATTCACCTGAATAGTTTCACAAGAGGACTATTTTTAAAACGTGATTTCCATCTTTTCTTAACTACATAGTATTATAGACCAATGTGTGTCCCGTTAGGTTCTAATATTATTATAGCTTATTTCTAGACAGGAAACAAAGTTATAAATGCCTGAAGACATCCCAAACCGCAGTTTTGACAAATTTAAAATATTTATCACCAAAAAATGTACAAAGACATCATTAACGAAAATGAAAACGAAAAAAAGTGAACATGTTACATCTTTATATCCTTGAATGGATCGTACATCTTTATATCCTTGAATGGATCGTACATCTTTATATCCTTGAATGGATCGTACATCTTAACCTCAAAAAGTCTAAAAACACTAAACAAATTAAGTTATGTTTGTATTTCAGAATCAATTCTGTGGTATTGTTATCTTGTTACTTTGGTTGCAGTCAATATGACTTTGTTTTTAATATGATGTACCTGCTATTTACCTTTGCTAAACAAAAGTGAATTTGAATTGGTTCATAACTCAAGAAACAGCAAGTTAAAAAGTATCACACCACTTGATAACGGCAATCGAATATCCGGGTAGTAGCAAAATTTCACGATAATAACTTATCATCTTAATAGACGTATACGTTTCATGTTCTGTCATGACCGTTGCTGTCTAAAATCCGTTTTTTACTTTCATGTATCAGATAGTATCCAAACTTATAGTTAAGCAAATATTTATTAATTTTTGGTGCTTCAGCTGATCGCGAGAAAATGTTGAAAGTGTTAACGCTTGAAGAACTACATTAAAACTGTGAATTTTAGTACACTAAGTACCTTTGTCTTGTAGGTGGGATTAATGCACAGAAACTGGGTTCAATATCGCAACCGAAGTGTGTGACGTATACCGGAAGCAAGATCACACCATGTTTGCACGATGCAACGACTAATGACAAAAGAGCGTGGTTCAAAATATCCCTAAACGGGCAGGTATGGTTTTTCTAGTTTTTTTGTTTGTTTTTTTTGTTTGTTGTTTTTTTTATTTATTTATAAAAGTTATTATTTATAATATTAAAGTTATGGATATGACTTAATTATTTTGATGGTCTTTCAGAGATTAATTGACGAAGCGGTATATTTCTGGGCCATTTATCTTCACATATATATAACGCTAGTATTAAGATAAGAATTAATACTTCGGATATTAATTACATTGTTTTGAAAAATATAGGTTGGTTGGATTGCCGGAGATTACCTAGCAGTAGCTGATAGGTCAAGGTGCTCCTCTGGTAGTTCAAGTAGTACTGGTGGAAGTTCATCTAGCAGTGTTAGTGGTACATCTACTCCTGGTGGCAGCGGTAATCAGCAGCAAGCTTCCTCAGGTTTGCAGCCTTTAAAGATTTTCTCTCTGTGTTGAAGACCCATTGGTGGCCTTGGACTGTTTTCTGCTCGTTGGTCGGGTTGTTGTCTCTTTGACGCATTTCCCGTTTCCATTCTCAATTTTAGTGATTGTTATTCCCTTTTATATTAGAGAGGGATGGTTGGTTATCTTTGGACACTATGAAGTAATACACAAAACGTTAAGAAAACAATATTTGAATAAATGTTGATCTCACTAGTAATACATGCAGACTGAAAGAGTATTGAAGCAACCAAATCAAATTAAAATCAGAACATCTATTGTATCGGTTTGACAACAGGCATACATTTTATCAATTTGCATTTCTTAATGCATTTTTAATACATTGAAGCTGAAACTAAAGCTTTTAAAAGCAACATGACACAATTCCATAAAATACTGTGATTAAGTCATGTTCCAAAAGAGTAAATCGGTTTGATAATATCGTAAGGTTGACGTTATCTTTTATATCTTCACAAAATTACAGACGCCTTATTTTTGCGTATTTTATATTTCCATTGACGAGAGATACACAGTAGTACTAATTCTTTTATTGTTTAATGAAACATTGTAAAGACTTATAATACGAGCAAATATAAACGGTCTATTTTTTAACTCTGTCGAAGGTCGGCGGTTCTCTTAGGCTCTTACGGAACTCCGTCTTCTCCCTACAACAAATACTGGTCTTCATGCGAAATTCAAAAGGCTGAAAGAAGTGTTTACACAAATCAATCTATTGTTAAACATGGTCTAAAAAGGGCAACAATCAAACAAAAAAAATAATAAAACTGTTTTAAAGGAACTCTGTCTAACTGTTTCCCTGGAGCTGAAATGAATGCACTTGAACAGAAGTTGCTACAGTATGAGAGTCTAAGAACAACAGCATATGATGCTCAGCCAAAATCATCTTATAAGGACTGGACAGTGTGTGAGTACTGTTTTATCAAATTTTATCAATGCCATTTATTATATTTATACGAAAACTAATAAACTATTGAGTCAATGCTACAACTGTTAATGTACCCTCTAATTTGTTACTTAATTTGTGTGCGGGGGGGGGGGATATTTTAAATGCGTGACATGCTTGATAATTGAATTTCTCTAACAAAATAATGGAGATAATCTAACTAAAGATTAGAAAGTTAAATTCTGAAAGCATTTCTTTGGAGTTTATATAGATAATGGCTACTGAATAATAAATATTTTAAACACTATAAGGTAAACATAAGACTAACGAGAAGCTATTTATTTCCGAAGGTGTTGGTTTTAATTTGAAACGCGGTAATGCAAGAAACGTGTTTGCCAAGGCCTTACCTGGTGTCAGTTTTGATGCAGTATACAACGGTCAACCACTGACAAGGGAGCAATGTATGAAACTTTTCGCTGTAAGTCTTTTTTATTTCAATAAGAAAAAATAAAAAAAAGGAAATCTTAAACCTTTAAACGGAGCAACATGAATCCGGTTGATCTCAGCTGCTCTAAAAGGGTAAACTCACAAAAAACCTTATAAGTGCTAGATAAAAACCCGCGTACAATAAAGAGGAACTTGAACAGTATATGTTCAGGATATTCACAGGGAATATGAGCCCATGTCCCGTTTGTAGGCCGAAATAACAATTATATTATACTAGAATGTCTATATTTCAACATTAATTACCATTCCTTATCTTCGACTTTGTTATACCAACTAATCAAATTGCATGATTAGCTGGAATATCTTAATCCAGTTAAGTTTAATATATATATTTATATATGAACACAGAGTACTACGGCATCATATGGGTATTACCGGAGTTTCAATATTATTACACCGAAGCAACCTTGAGATATTTTGGCATTTTCAAATGTAACGCCAGATAAAGTTTTGTGTTAAAGATTGGTCTGTGAATAAGTGGTAGATGCATCAAAAAACCAATTCTATATTCCCTAACTGATCCGTCCCTATTTATAATTAGATCCCTATTCCGGTATATTGTCAGTATTCTGATATAGTGTTAAGTAACTATTTACTCAGTTGTTGTCGGCCTACGATTGACAGACAATCATGTTGCTAAAGGACTGCCATTATACATAAGAGTAAACTAAATGACAACTCGCCGCGATATTCCGTTTGATGTTGACAGAAATTGTGAAGAGAGGCTACCCGCCACCGTTTTTCTTTTAAATTGTAATCTTAAGCCGTCCGACCACTCTGTCGTTTTTAGAAAAAAATAAGGATATTTTAGGTTAAGGATTGATTTGTTTAAATCAAATATTCTGACAACAACGCACACATTTACATATTAAATGAGAACATTGTTTTGAAATACATGTACATTATTACAGTATGACTTGGATGCAAACTATGTCTCACAACCGAAAGGCCGATTTGGAGCATCATTCTGCCAGTTACCCCTCAATGTTAAAATAGCTATAGTTAACGCTTATTATCGAGGAGATATGGGACCAAAAACACAGAGTTTGATAGCCAATGGAGATTGGTGTCACGTGAAGGCAGAGTATCTGAATCACGGGGACTATATTAACTGTGTGTCTAAAGGTATCCCTGGTGTTTGTACTAGAATGGACTGGAATGCTGACCAGTTTCAGTCAATGTGTAAGTTTTGTTTGATATCATTTGGTGAAAATAATCATAATATATTTGGTATAGATTGCATTTATTCTTCTTAACTGTCTGTTTAAATATGAAGATAGTATCCAGATGTCAGTCAAAATACCGCAAGTCAAGTAACAAACCGAAATACTTCGGAGAAAGAAAAAAGCTGACATGCATCGACAAGGTAAACATCTCCTGTTATCCATGAATATAAAAGCAACGGATGGAATCTGGGAAACATATTCCCTGTCTTTGTTAAAGTATGTACTTTTTATAAGTTAAAAAGTGTGTCATGAATAAAGGTGTCAAATAAAATTGAGAATGGAAATTGGGAATATGTCAAAGAGACAACAACCCGACCAAAGAGCAGACAACAGCCGAAGGCCACCAATTCTACCACCAATGCTAAATCCTTGATATATTCAACAACTGTTTTTCAATTTTCGCAGATCTATAAATATTTTATCTTAAGTTTAACTTTATGCAAACCATGTTTTCCTAAATTGCACATGTACCAACTTTCTAGATGCCACTTTTCAGCAAATGCTTAAAGTCTTGTAGTGACACATGATGTTTGGGAAGTCTTATACTTCTAAAAATGAAAATTTTCATTAGAATATTTTTGAGCACATCTACCCTTAAATTGTGTTGAGTGCACAAGTAAATTTGAGCTCAAAAGTATCAAAATGTATTTCTCAATCAGAAAAATTAACATTCATTTAGTTTCATTTATTAACAACATCAAAAGCATACTTTGACATATGATCTAATTTGGAGTGGATAAGTTGGTGTTATGACACCTAATAGCAGATGTAGGGTTAACATTAAAAAAGATCAACCCATCAACACTTTTATGTGATGTCTTCAACAATAGACAGATGTCTATATTGCACGGCATATTGCCCCTTGACACTTTAAAAGGTCCTCCATTAACACAAAATTCCTCAAACAATAAAAAAACAATAAGATGATTGTAGTATAATGCATGAGACATAAAACAATAGATATAGGAAGATGTGGTATGAGTGCCAATGAGACAAATCTCCATCCAAGTTACAATTTATAAAAGTAAACCATTATAGGTCAAGGTACGGCCTTTAACACGGAGCATTGGCTCACACCGAACAGCAAGCTATAAAGGGCCCCAAAAAATTACTTGTGTAAAACCATTCAAACGGAAAAACCAACGGTCTAATCTATATAAAAACGAGAAACGAGAAACACGTATGAACTACATAAACAGACGACAACTACTGTAATCAGATTCCTGACTTAGGACAGGTGCAAACATTTGCAGCGGGATTAAACGTTTTAATGGTACCAAACCTTCTCCCTTTTCTGAAACAATAGTATAACATCACAACATAGAAAAACACACTATAAAATATCAATTGGAAGGCTTAACTCAATCAAAAAACGTAAATTAACACACAATGAACGAATAAATTTGACCTGTGACACCTGAATGCAAATAAACATGTAATCAAACTAACAAAGTATAAAAATTAGTGAACAATGCAGAGTTCAAAATTTAATTGAAAACAACCTAATATATAACATAGAAACTAGGATGGAGTAAATATAGTATTGAGCAATGATTTCAAGAACTCTGTAAGATGTAACAAAGCGCGACATGTGCATGGATATACGTCAGATAATCTACCATATTAAGACCTGTGCATGAAACTTGTCTCTTGAATGATCTTTATCAAGTAGCCTCGAGACAGAACTTTTTGAAACTATTAAAATCTAGAACAACGAAACAAAAGGATACAAAGAGAACAGACGAAACCGATTATACTTAGTAGTCAATTTAACTTATGGAATTGCAACTTTAGTTTAATCACGATTCACTTTGCAATAACAAAATTACCATTCACATCCTGACAGAAGAATAACACTAACTACTTGCGGAATGCCGGGGAAAATCCTTCGAGTTGAAAGTCTACAAACTGAGACACACCCGTTGGCAATGATATCAAATTACAAATCCTGTTAGTGTGCCACACTTAGTTATTCATTATCTTAGCAATTAAACAACCAATACCATCATTTTGGATAGCCAAAAATATAAAAAGTTCAAATATCATCAAATCCTTTGATTTTCATTCAGGCTCTGGCAAAACATCTAGTTCTAGTTCTTCACCAATACAAAATTCTGGTTCCGGTTCATGCGATCCAGTTGCCAAAGAATATGCTTGCAAGCTATTACAGCTATATAATACAGGAAAACTAAGTCTTTGGGATGCTCATGCATCTAAAGAGCATGACAGTGCCTTCTGTATAAATAATATCCGAGACACCTGCAATGGAGGAAAAGCTCAAAGATCATCGTAAGTTTTAATCAATTGGGATGGTAATGTTTTGCCTTAAACATATTTCCCTTATTGTTTAACTGGGTTTTCCGAAGGAAAAATTCTGTTACTAGTATAAGAATGGTGAAGTACGGCGGGTGGGCGGCTGCAAACAATATTCGTGCAATATATTATGAACCATTCAACCAATGCATTTTAAATTTTGATATGTTGTTTCTGATGACTAAATGGAGGTCAAGGTCGACATTGACGATTTTCAATTTTCAACTGGTAATTATGGTCCTTGATAGGTTGGAAAATAGCACTTTATTTGGTTTCTGTGATACTACTTATGAATCGTTCAACCAATGCTTTTCCTTTAATATGTTGTTACTAGTTACATAATGGAGGTCAAGTTCGATATTGGCGATTTTCACTTTCGCCGTTCAGGAGATAATGGTTCTTGATGGATTGGGATAGGGTACTTTTTGTCGTTTCCATGCCATAACTCATTAACCGTTCAACCAATACTTTTCAAATTTTAATATGTTGTAACTTAAGAGTAAATGGAGGTCTAGTTCGATATTAATGATTTTCACTTGTACCGTTGAGGAGTTATAGTCCACGATAGATCGAAAAATAGGCGCAGAAAGTGGTAGGATAAACAAGCAAAGTGTCAAACAGAAAGTGGTAGGATAAACAAGCAAAGTGTCATGCCAAATAACTATTTTATGTTTACAGTGAAATAATTGTAAACCTTTACGGAATGTTATACCCACAAGAAGAATGTCAGAAATAACATTCCGCCTAGCAAATCATTATAGTTTTGTGGCCATCCATTTAAAATATGCATGGTAATCGTTCGAGTTTATTATGGCGACCAGGACGGAACAAAGATTTACCTTGGACTCTGAGAAATTCAGATACACTTCAGCTTCCGCTATCGATAGTTGAATTCATTGTATTCATAATGGCCAGTCATGAAATAGGTGAGCTTGGTGACAATCTAAAATTTATGATGACTACAACTGTGAGATAGATGATACCTAAGACCGTTTAGGAAATACTTGCAAATTGTATCTTACTGAGAAAAATAAGTAGATATCAAAGAGGCAATAATAAACCATAAGTCGAAGAAAGACTACACCATGAGCAAATGGTAAAAGTCAAACAACAGTTCATAGAACACTACAGAACCGAAGACCGAGCCGAAGACGAATCACAACAAAAATCTGGAATAAACGTAGGTGCTCTGGAAATGTAAACAGTTTCTTGCCCATTATTGGCAATCGTCCGATCCGTCGCTTTTGATGATGGCACAGACCATGTTCATTTAAATTGGAATATTATATATTAACGTTAGTATAATAGTCCTACATTTGAATCATATATGCTTTCTAACATTAGTATCAAAATGCTAATATTCTGTTCTTTAATTGTATCTGTTTCAAAATTAAGTGTGTAAATATTTGCAGAATAAAATCAAAATAAATGTGAAATAATCCTCGTATTTTTTGTAGATATACATGTTCGGAATGCCCTAGTGGAGCGCCAGGTGGGTCTGTCTGTCTTAATCCAAATCTTTTGAAATATGTTTATGACTTAGGAAGTAGAGGAACAGAAAAGGTCTTAGTAAGTATGAATAAAAGGAAATAAGAGGCAAGGTAAACGTCAATTACACATCAAGTCAACAGCACAGTCAAATGTAACATACAACAAAATGTCCGAGTTGATTTCTAAGAACATCTATTATTTTATCAAAGTTCATCTTTGATGTTGCTACATTTGGTGTCACATCCAATAAAATATGTGCCTAATAACGAGACCGTCTGGAAAACGAGGACATAACATTGTTACACAAACGTTTGGGGATATGTTCAGTTGAACACTCTTATAATGGTATTCAATTCTATCATTTTCTCTTACTGCGCAATACAACGAGTGATGCAAACAGAATATGCCCTTCCAGAGCATCTGGTGTCACTCCTGATTTTATTTAAGAAGAATTTTTTGCAACAAGGTCGGGATAGTGCTCGAAAATAGCAAGATATAAACCGTATGCAAATAAAGGTCCATCCTCTTTCTAAAAAGAGTGAGTTGTTCTGACACAAAATAGCCTTGAGAAAGAATTCACCAAAGAAATTTGAAAATCATAAACTTTATAAGGTGTATCAACTTTCCTGTGTGAAAAGTTTTAATTAACCCAAACTACCATAAATCTAGAAACTTACATACCTATTAACTGAAAACAAAGCCCAACTTAAAATGATGCAGTTAAACATTTGTTTTGAAGGTTAATGAGTTTGCTGGTGCCTGCCATCATTGTGGTTCTTGGCACTATGAAGGTAAGGCTGTAGATTTACAGACCAGCTCCAGGAACCAGGACTATATGGACACTTGTAGGAGATTTGGAGGAACACCATTAGATGAACACTCTCATATTCACTGCACGATAAAAAATTAACATAAATAAAATGATGCCTTTACATACCGTTAATCAAATGTGTTAACTCTATCAATCACCATATCTCGGTTTTTCAATCTCGGTAGCCGAATGGTCTAAGTAGTTCATCTACTGTATCACTAGCCTTTCAACATGGACACGTTCGACTCTCATCTTAATTAGCTAGGATTGTCAGTTTTCTTGCCGAAGGTCGTTTGTTTTCTTCGACGAGCAATCCGGGTTCCTCCACCAATAAAAACTGACCGCAACAATATAGTGATTAATAGGGATGAAAGTGGCGTTAAACACCAACAATCCATCGATCAATTGTGAAACAAATATAGTCGAGTGGCACATTGTCAGTAAAACATGACTCAGGGGCGTAGCAACCTTCTAAATGAAGTGGAATCACAAACTAAAGGGCGAGGGGTCTGGGGCCGCCTAAGGCCCCCAGTATGTCCAGGGCAAAGCCCTGGTAGGGGGTCCAGGGGGGGGGGGGCAAAGCCCCCCGTAAGCTCCGCATATATAGCGTTTCAAAACAATCACAACCGTATTAAAACTTGGACATTTTTGTTGTGTTTTTGTTGTCAAATATTTGTTTAACTTCGAGTCGAATGAAGACTTAACATTGTCGTTTGCGTTTTTTGTGCGCTGTGAAAGCTTTTAAAATCACGGAGATTAATTGTTCCATATGCTAGTATTTGTATTGAGCAAAGAAGTATAAAAAACAAACAATAAACATAAACACAATACTATATGTGGAGTTTCTGTTAGAATAAACATCATTGGATACAAAATACTTGGTGTACACATTCTCCAATATTTTACTTAACATATGTATTTAGATGTTTAAAAATTTTGTGGGTAAACTCTACAAGAGAGAGGGATATGCATTTCTAATTTTACGCAGTTAGGAATTGTCGAAGTTGAAATTAATGAACTTTTTCATAGGGAATGGTACTTTGATCACGATCTTTTTCATGATCTGCGTTTGTTTATTATCCAGCTAATTAACAAATACATATGCATTCGACCAGTTGTATGGCAATATCTAGATGATAACAGTGAAGATACGTGTATTAAAAGTTTGGTGTATCTTTCGAACAAGAATCAGCAGTTTAGTGTCCGACTCGGACAGAAAATTCATTATAAAATTGAATTACCAAATAGTCCAGTAAAACGAGTTAGAATTAACAATTTATTTAAATGCTTTAACAATCTACCATTCGTATAGCCGGCCCATATAGAAACGACTTCCAATTATCGAATCTATATAAAAGATGTTTTTTTGTAAAATAGATGAAAACGTAATACATGAACTATTGATTGATTGAATGGTTTTTAATGTCCGGTAGCAAATATTAAATGCACACCAGGACAAGAATACGTTGACGTGATGTGAAAATGAACTATTCGTGTTGTCAAAACCTACATACTAAGTCAATTTTGAACTAGTTCACAAGGTAACAGTCATTATTCCCGGATCGATACTAGTTGAAGAGTCTTCGTTCTAGTAAGATGTGTGCTATGGGGCGAAGCGGAAAATAATAATTTGCAAGTTTTTTTGTTAACCCTAAAGGGATTATGTTTTTTTTTGCACTCAAAGCGAGTATACGTTATGGTGGTGGTACCGACAACTATGTAGCTGGTATTTTCTAAACAATGCCCGTAATATAAAAAGTTTACACCAGTTGTATGTATTTATGGTACACATACATGTCTTACATGATTAAAAATTTCGCTGCATGTTTATCCTCTTGCTTTTATTCTTTGTGTTGTTTTTAAAATGCATACATAGAAAAACCAATTCCTATGTATGTTAACTTTTTCCCCCTCTTTCTCTCTGTTTTTTTTCCTTTTTTTTTTGTGTGTGAAAACGACGTGGATGCACGTGCTGCCGTGCCTCAGGGTATATTATTCATAGAAATATGATTTGGTACAAATGAATGATAAATACTTGAGAAACAGATATTTATGATAATGTAAATAAAATTAAAACTAGGAAAAAATAAATATTTTAAAGTCAAAGAAAATAGAACTGCCTGGTCCCTGCTTTGTTTCCGGAGATGGTAATCGATGTATAAAGCCGGTTAATTTTGAAGACAGATATAAGGAGTGGTACGTCACAACACCCCTGACATCTGTCCTCACAAACTTCCGACAGACAATATTCCAGGTAGAAGTTGTTCTTTCCACGAATAGAGTGTTCCATTGTATTTTCTGCAACAAAAAATAAATATTCACTCAGTGAAATAGGTTTGATATGATTAACACCAAAGAAATATCAATATTGGTATGACATACACAAAATATTGAAAAATCAATAAATGCTTGTTAATATGTAAAATAGTCCTTTTAAAGTCGAAGCAAACTTGTAAAAAAAAATCTCAACAACAGAAGTTAGAGCTTTTAAATTGTTTATCTATTTAGTGTGTTTGAAGTGTATCTGTTACTGGTCGATCTTGTATTTATTGTATATACGTTGTCCTAAAGACAATTACACTTTCTCATTCGAGCTTGTTAGGTGGAAGACTATTAAAAAAAACCCAACAAATTTTCGATTGTTTATGAGTCTTGAAGCAAATTGACATATTGTACCTCTTTAATATACGGCTTCAAATTACATGTGTTTTTTTTCAAAAGCTAGTCTTGTTCTTTCCCATATGTCACCCTAGTAACTTTGCAACCCGTGATGCAAAGCTCTGGTTTTTATCCGGAAATTTTAGTTACAACTGGCATGGTGTATAAAGAAAAAACAATGGCGACAAAGTCGATTACAATATTTCAAAAGTATATCACTAATCTACTAAATGAAGGCATGTTTTCCACTGTCACTTTAGGTGACTGAGGTGATCCTTTCACTTGTTACTGCTGCAAAATAGTCTATCTCTACGACAGTATTATTCTGCTCAGTTCCTCCAAAATTCAACTGTATACAGGTGTGTTACGTCAAAATGGTTGACCTGGTCAATTTAGCTTTGACACGAACGTATCAAGATTTCCTCTTATCTGCTTGTGTAAAACAACAATAACTGTTTTCATGTAAAGACGTCATTACATGTAACAATCAGAGAAAAACATGACATAGTGAAATGCCAAACTATAGGTATCGACAGATTGTAGTACTGTGAATGTACATGTGTGTATAACAATAATATTAGTTGGGTTTTGATTTACTGGTTTAATTTAATTTAATGATTAAAATCAATATTCATACCGATAAAAACAATATTCAAAGATATAATTACAGTTTTTGAATGAACTCATTATTTTAAAAATAGTAAATGTGTTTCATACATTACTGGTGTGAACATGTTTACATCTTTTTTATATGGTATCATAAATTGGCATATTTACCAGTATTGCAATTCAAAGCTTTATTGCTTGTCATTGACTGGAAACAAATTTTATAAATTCGCATACAAAATCAGACCGGTTAAATTAGATGCAGCTCTATTGAGTCGGCATCTTACAAGAGAAATACATGACTTGGAAGTAAAAGTATAACTAATTGGATTATTTTGATTGTCCAAAATTCTTGAAAATGAATATTTGAACATCTTGAGGAAAGTTAATTTCTGAAAAAAATCTACATTAGGTGTTGAAAGAGTGATACAACTTCACCAAAAAGACCAAATAGCATATAGTGTAAAATCTGGCTGGAGGATGGACTGCACGAATTCGACACGATCATTATACGCAAGAGGTCACTGACATCTATTAATCATAACTATGCTTTGCTGCGGCAGCCAACTAGAATATCAAATCATTACCGTGCATACTATCACTAAGTCTCTTAAGAGATCAACAAAAAGAAGCTGCTTACATCATTCTTATCGATGAAATCCTTGTTTGTTTTCAGATAGAAACCTTTATCGGGTTTTAGGAATGATCACCATATCATCCATAAACAATATTTCAATAGTATAAGAGCACACGTCGTTTACACGTTCCCAATAAGGTCGTATATAGGTTAAATAATATTCTGAGGTAATGACCATATTGAAAGCTTTCTGTTTTTTAGTGAAGATGTCTGCAGGTTTTCCCGTTAGGAACATAAAGGACTGACAAATAGGTTTCATAAGTGTCAGAACCCAACTGTTGAACATGCTATCTATGAACGAAAGTCTTAGTTGAGGATCATCCGAGAAAATGTTGTCATGTTTTGATGAATTTAGCTCAACGGCTGTGCGAAGATAAAAGGGTTAATGGTGAGCGCCAAATAATGTGAAATTTCTCATTGTGCTTAAGGACAGGGAGCTGCTACTATTACCATAAAAACCACAGCAGCTAATATTACCATAAAAATAACAGCAGCTACTATCACTATAAAAACCACAGCAGCTTCTATTACCATAAAAACCACAGCACTCATACAATGTTACAAGGTTCATCTATTATTGTGCTGTTCAATAAAAGTCAAGGTGGAATTATGCATGGTTTGAATTACCTCACGGTAAAAGTATTTTCCCATTTCTTATTTCCTGATCCCAATTTTTAAAATAATACATGAAGATGTTTCTTTTGAATTCTAGAATTAGCCTTGGCGTATTCATTCATAAAATATATCTTCAAACTCAATTTAAACAAAAATTTGCTTGAAATCAATGTAACAGGTAATTCTTAATTACTTCACATTAATGATTACTCTCAATATATATTTAGTTTCTTTACTGTAATTGTAAAGTATCTCTAATGTTCTAGTTTTTCGAATTTTATATTTGCCAGTTGCAGACATTTTAGTCAGACCATTAGGTTTAAAATAGGAAAATATGCCAGGTGTGCCAAGACACACTTTTAATGTTAGTTCAAGGGTATATATAGTTAAAAATAAAATACATATGCAAATTTAAACACACCAAGCTAATTGTGACGTTGACCTATCGTTGTCTTTTGGTCTCTGATTGATAGTTGTTTTATTCACATCAAATCTCTTCATTTTTATTTGCCTATTGCGTTTTAAAAATGATTAACTTAATTAAGTGTATCTGAATGCTGTTTTTCGATTAAGAAATTTGGCAGATCATTCACATTAT